ATTACTGTTGAGCTAAGGTTCATTTCGACTAAAGGTTTGTTGAGATGTCTGTTGTTTCCTATTGCATGAAGACGACAGCGGATTCTTATTTTACTGACTTATTCTTAACCTGAGGCTGTTATAATAATGAAGTTCATCCATGAGTATTTCAAATGTCAGCACGTTTTCACCAGAAATGAAGGAGGCTGTGACATAAAAAAGGGGACAATGACCGAAAAAGTGTGATCTAAAAAATTGTAGTCGTCACAATCCCTGATTCGATGAATCCTTGCCGAACATTGGTCTGTCATGTGGTGGACATCCTCAGAGCAGGACACCATACTTTACGATAATTAACAAAGTACGAAGACAAGAAAAGTGGATGGCTGCAATCCTACCAACTCTTTTTCGACTCACTTTGCCTACTTAATGGGACATCTCATTACTCGGTTTGATGCACTATGTTTTCCCTCTATCTTTGCTGAAGAATTAAGTTGTTGAAAATAAGACTTGAAACTGTCGCAAGTATGACCGAACAGCTGCATCCTCTAAATCACATGTATTTTTGATCTTCTTCTTTCTCTCTCTCTCTTAGTCCTATTATTTATTTCCTACACTCATTCCCTCTATACAGAGTGTTGGCTGTTTTGTTAATTTCTATACATTCCCTAATGTTTCGCTTACTTGTTGGTATATTCTCCATATCTAGCTAAGCGGTTGACCTTAAACTAGTGTATCTACTGTCCTGTGTGGATTATTTGGCCAGTTCTGATTTTTGGACCCACAGCCATTTACAGGTTGTTTTATGTTCGGATACTCTTGTATGTATGTGTCGGCAGGTCTCTCCTACATAGACACTATCACACGAACACAAAACTTTATAGCAGCTCGATTTGGAGAGAGGGTCCGAAACTTCCTGAAAAGACGGCATTTCTAGGGAAAGTGTTATTTTCTTATGCATTGTCCTGATATTTCACTTTTTCAGTACTTCACCAATCTTTTTCGAGAGCTGACACGATGGCTACATCAAGACACTATTCGAGCGGTTAAGCTGCCTATTCTGTCCCAAATAGATGCTTTCCTATTTGCGCATAGTTTAAAGTTCCTGTCAATTAATCCTAATGGCTCTTATTCTTGACTGAATTTTTCCTTAATGGCCTCAGTTATTCTTTTCGATGATTAACATAGGCAAGATTTAGGATCCTTGTTAATATTCATTTCATAATCTATACTTCAACCCCATAAATACAGTCCGAACATAAATTTAAGAGGAACCACGCATTTGTGGGCTTCACATGTACATTTCTACCCGGTTTATTTCGCCTTTTATTGACTAAGACATTTAGGTAGGGTAGATTATCATCTTTTTTTAATTCAATGGTGATCTTGGTCTTTTCATCAATTCTCTTTATTAGCGTTAGGAGGTATTTTAGGTTTTTTTGTCGTGTCGCCAGCCGGCAAAGTAGTCGTCCATGTGCCTAATAAACAAGTTAGAAAGTAGAATTGGTTCATGTGTTAGGTGACTTTCTAATCCAGTCATGTAGTTATTTGTAAAAATTAGGAATAAACATGATTTGATAGCAATGCATCATGTCTCCTCTTACAAGTTACTATTGAAAGTAGAATAGGTACAGCTCATCACCGAATTCTTTGACAGAATTATTTACTCCTTACCTAAATTTGTACTTCTCAAAACATTCGGGCGTTGATCCATTGTTAATTCTAGGGCTCCGACTACATCAAAACTAACAAGCAAATCCCATCTTTGCTCTGCTAATCGACTAACTAAACGAATTAATAAAAATTTCTTGCTAAAGACTTGCTTTATTTACTGACGGATATATCATGATGCTTTATGCATCACGCTACCTTTATTATTGATAATAATTCTGAGTAGGATTCCCTCCTTTATGTATCTTGGGCAGACAATGTGCGTTTGGGGGCATGACATCTCGTTGAAGTGTGTTCATTTTCTACTTCTCCAGTTTTTCGTTTCTTACACAATGTTGCAGGCAGTCCCTGAGTCTATAATTTAGGGTTTCTGTAGGGCCTTTAGTGATAATCTTGTACGTTAATGTATCATCTAGTGTTGCATCATCCTTGCTATATAACTAATCTTATCCATGACCACGCTGTTTGTTCCTTGTGTTTTATTTTTTTAACAACGTTTTTCTCCTTTCCTTTGACGATACCTCTACATGCTTATCAAGTAAAGGGACAGCCTGCAACTCGATATCGCTTCTAGTTTCTTGAGGCAAACGACCGGTAAACTTAATGAATTTTACTAATATTTCTTCCTTGCTATCCTTAGTCTTTTGCAGCACAAGGTTTAAGCCTTCAGAATGAAATTCCTCTGTAGTAATGTCCAGTGTTGTTTTGGCCATGCCTAACACTTTACACAAGGCTCCTTGAACTCCAGCGAGAAGCTTAAGTTTTATCTTAAATGTACCACTTTTAATGCACTTACATACAATAAGAAACATAGCATAACCTAAAAATGTTAATTATATTAGACACTTTTCGTTATTTTAATTGGTTATCTTTAGCCTTAGTTACGACCTTTTCATGTTTAGTATACTCTAGTTGTATTTTTTTTACGTTTTTTTCCAGCCAGTGAATATGACGCACATTCAAGCTTCTGGTAGTCTGAGTAGTAGACGTCCTCGAGAAGCCCGCGAACAAGCTCTTGTTTCACTTGGAATTACTCCCGCCAACCACTACACCGCCTTGCAGACAGCTGCGGCCCCCGGAAATTCCGTTTCAGCTGGGCTTGCTGCTGCATCATCTGGCTCTGTGAGTTCAGCATCCTCAACTTCTAGCTTCTTCCAAGAAGACGGGCAGACTTCATTTCGGACAGGTCTGCTTAATGGCAGCAGTGTAGGGGAACGTGCGGCTTTCGGCCTGGTGGGTCACTCTGATAAGGCTTTGTCACAACCACTAGCCGCCGGATCCTCACTCAGCTCTACGGCTCCGCAAAAGTTGAAAAAGAAGCTGCAGTTACTACATGAAGCCGAGGAGAAAGCAGCTCAGCACGTGCATGTCGGAACTGCAGCTACTAACGCTTCTGCGAATGCATCTGCCGGGAATTCGGCACAGGGTAATTTCACCTCTGCTTCTCCAGGCAATTGTTCCGCTCCTGGAGCATCTGGCTCCCTTGGTTTGGGTAATCCGCAACATCTTGGCCAGTCCAATCACCACCATCACTTCCGACAACAGCCTATTCAAGCCCAACAATCGCGTGGTAGGGCAATTCGAACGGCTTCTAGCCCGGATGGTGAAGTCAACAGCAGCGGTGAAGAAGGACGAAATAGTGAGCATTTCCTACTTCCTCTCTCTAAATCCTTCTCGATGCCCCTATTCCATGTGCCAACCTAATTAAGGAATTGCAAAAAACGCTAATTGATTTACTTCATTTATTTAGATGGTAGATGATAATTGCCAAATATT